CATTTCACCTCAAGACACCATCTGCCTCAACCTCCATGAATACCAAAAGGTTTTTCTGTGGTAGGAACCAGACCTGCACAGCCTTGCTAGCACTTCACCTGGTCCCCAAGGACCCCATCACAATCCCTGGTTCTAAAAAAAAACCCAAATCCACAAAACCAAAAGTGACAGACACTCATCACTCAAATGTACTTGTGAACTCCAATTTGATCTTGATTCAAACAAAAATTGTGAGACAATTGGGAAAATATGAATATTGGTTTAGTGATACTAAAGAATTATTGCCATTTTAAAATGTGATAGTGGTATTATAGTTTTAAAAAAAAGTAAGTTCTTGTTGGGTTGTGCACACCTGAAATTCCCATGGCTCGGGAAGCTGAGGCAGGAGGATTGCTAGTTCAAAGGCATCCTCAGCAAATTAGTGAGGCCCTAAGCAACTCAGTGAGACCCTGGATCTAAATAAAATATTTTTAAAGGGCTGGGATGTGGTTCAGTGGTTAAGTGCCCTTGGATTCAATCTCAAGTAATTTCCTATCTTTTAAATGAGAGAATGGCAAACTATGGCCCTGTTACTGTGAATAAAGCTTTATTGGAACATAGCCACACCCTCACTTATATATTGGTTTGAATATGGGTACATTGAAACAGAGACATGTGAATTAGAATAAATAAATAAAAGTAAAAAAAAAAAATTGTGGCCTGTAAAACCTAAAATATTTACTGGAAAAGTTTGCCTTTCCCTGTTTTAGACAAATATCCTGAAGTGTTTATTTATAAAACAACATTTGGGATTTGCTTCAAAATAATCCAGTTTGGGAAGGAATAAAATGTAATTAGAAACCAGGGCTATGAGATGGTAGAAGCACTTGGCTTCATCATCCTAGTGTCTGTTTTTATATATGTTGAAAAGTTTCCATGATAACACACTTTTAGGAAAGGAAAGTCTGCCCTCCCATAGCCTCCCAACTACTCTAACCCACACCAGGACCTGGCATCTCTGACCCAACAAGGGCAGCACGACAAAGCCACTGCCATTCGTTCCAGTTCTGCATATGTCTGATGATGACTTCTGTCCCAGGCTAACCAGAAAGGCCATGGGCACTGAGAAAGCCCCTCACAGCCGGCCATGCAGTGAGTGCCCCCTCCCCCTGCATCTGGGGTCCAGGGGTGTTCTGGAAACTGGGGAGGGAGGGACAGGAGGGCTCTGTGGGAAGAGAACCCCTTTCTGAGGGTCAGGCAAAATATCAGGGGCCTTTGGTAAGTTTGTCCTTTGCTCCCTGTGCCCCCTGCATCCAGGGCTTGGACCCATGACTTTTCCCTGGGTAATCCCTGTTCCTCTGTGACTTTGGAGTGCTTTGTTGCTTTTTCAATGCTGGAAAGGAATCCAGGATTTCATGCATGCTAAACAAGCTCTCTGAGCTACACCCATCCCTTTGTTTGTTGGTTTGTTTTTGAGACACAACCTCACTAAGCTACCTAGGCTGCCTCCAAACTTGGATCCTCATGCCTTATCCTCCTGAGTAGCTGGGATTACAAGCATGGGCCACCTTGCCTGGCTTGGGGAAAATTTGAATGTTGACCACTCAGGGTCTTCAGATAGACTCAGAGAAAAGCTTACAAAATGTCAGGCAGTAGCCCTGTCCCTGGGATGTCTGCATGGTCACTATCAGCATTTCCTGTCCTGTTGGGCCACAGAGACCTCCAGTGGGGCCAGGGCCAGGTCTTTGGCTGCTGTGGATATGACCTAAATCCCATTAGAACTATCATTATGATTCTGGAAGTAAACCTAAACCACCTGATACGCTTTTTCCCCCTAAAGACCGTTTCTACCTAGAAGGATTAAAGTTGTTTTCTTGAAATTCCATCTTAAATTCCAGGATTTCCCAAAACTAAGGAAGCAAACAGATAATTAGTGTGGCCCTCTCTCAGTACCACCCCACCTCTCACCCTGTTGTCTGACCTTGGCCATCTGTCTGGGCATCCTGTCCTGTCTCCTGCCCACACCTAGGACACCAAGCCTAACCTCTGCTACTCTTCTTTGTGGCCCATACCTCCCTGATCCCACCCTCACTTTACACATTTCCCTTGGGAACACTTGGTGGTGTCCAGAGACATTTTTGGTTGTTGCACTTTAGTGGAGGATAGGGTGCTATAGCATCTAGTGGGTAGAGGAACCAATCAGCATCCTGCAGTGCACAAAGCAGCTCCACCCAAGATTATCTGGCCCCTAATGTCAATAGTGCCAAACTAAAGAGACCCTACCCTGACGCATAAATCTGAGCCAGGTGTGGTGGCATATGCCTGTAATCCCAGCAGCTTTGGAGGCTGAGGCAGGTGGATTGCAAGTTTGAGACCAGCCTCAGCAACTTAGCGAGGCCTTGTCTCAAAATAAAATAAATAAATAAATAGGACAGGAGAATATAGTTCAGTGGTAGAGTGCCCCTGGATTCAATTGTCAGTACCAATGAGGCTAGGGGAAAAAAAGATACAAAAAATAAAAAGTGCTATGGATGTGGCTAGGTGTTAAAGTGCCCCTGGGTTCAATCCCCAGAACCAAAAAACAAAACAAAACAAAAAAATAATCTGAGCTTGTTATAGCAGAAGCAGTTGAGAACACAAGCCTGCAGCCAGGCTGCACACACATCAGATGCAGGTTCATCACTCTAGCTAGTGACTTAGCTGGGCCTTAGTTTTCTTCACTGTAAAATGTATTTAGCCTACAGTTAAATACTACTGAACAGTAGCTGCTGTCAGTAGCTCAGGATTTACAATGCTTTATGCGGTAGGACCCTACTCTCCATTTATGCCCCCCTCCTGCTCCCTAGATTCTGCCAGGTAAGGGGGAGCAATGAACAGAGTAGCCCATTGCCAGAAGGACAAGGGGGGTTCACTCACCCACCCTGGGGACCCAAACACCTGCCCTGATGTGTGTGAGTAACCCTTGGCTCTGCCACCTCCACCCTTTCATGGTGGTTCCTAGTTCCTTTAACTGGTGTAGGATGTGATGAGGATATGGAGGCCCAGGGTCTTCAGGTCAGGAGCCAGGCTAGCAAGGATTGAGGAATCCCCAGTGCAACTGCTCCCACTGTTGAACCTTGGGCAAGTCTTTCCCCTTTGAGCCTTGTGGTCCTCCTTGCCGTGTTTGAGCCTCAATTTCCTCATCTGTCAAATGCAGGCCTTGTAAGGATCACAGTGCATGTAAAGTCCTGAGCATAGGGTAACCCAAGTGGAGACTGCAGTGGGACAGGTCCCTTAGCCTCTTGTTGCTGTTCATGCTGACTTGAGCTTTTTTTTTCTTTCTTTTTTTTTTTTTAATATTTTCTTAGTTGTAGATGGACGCAATACCTTTATTTTATTTATTTTTATGTGGTGCCAGAGATCAAACCCAGTGCCTCACACAGGCTAGGCAAGCACTCTACCAGTGAGCCACAACCCTGGCCCCTGACTTGAGCTTTTTCTGTCAGCATTCAGGATCTGTCCAGCTCACCGATTTTGCCCCTTGGTCACTGCTCCCCAACCCCTTCATCAGTTTCTCTGACTCACTCCTATGCACCCAGTCCTCCTGTGTACCCAGTCTTCTGCACCAAACCACATCCTCCTTTGATTTACTGCAGAATTTCCCAGCCTACTCTTTCTTGGTAATGCCCCCACCCTAGCTAGAGAACCAGCTGCCTCTGACTTTTCTCCTCAGCCACTCCTCCCTCTCTCTAATCCCTGATTGCTTCTTCACCATTGGTTTAGGGACTTAAGTGTAGAGACTCAAGAGATAAACCAGGCTCGGTTGCACACACCTGTAATCCCAACAGCTCAGGAGGCTGAGGCAGGAGGATTGGGAATTCAAAGCCAGCCTCAGCAAAAAAAATGAGGGGCCAAGCAAGTCAGTGAGACCCTGTCTCTAAATAAAATACAAAATAGGGCTGGGGATGTGACTCAGTGGTCGAGTACCCCTGAGTTCAATCCCCGGTACCAAAAAAAGAAAAAAAGAGAGGCTCAGAGATGACTCCAAGTCACCTGGTCTCACTGCTGCCTGACATGAAGACCTTGTGGCAAAGAACAAAGGCAGAGGCTCCTAGAAGCCATTTCTTCAAGGTGCCACCCCACACTGTGGCCTGCACGGAGTACATGGTAATTCTCAAGGCAGGAATGGAAAGGAGGGTCAAGCATTCACCTGCTAGGTGGCCACTTAGGAAGCCCCAATGTCCCTGCTGCCACAGTAGCTGACCAGAGGGGCAGGTTCTAGTCTAATCAAGATGCTGTCTATTGGATCTTACCAGGATGCACCCCATCCCATTACACTGTAACAGCCCCCACTTGACAGCAGCACATAGGGACCATAGAGAGGGCAAGACCCTGGGCTGGGGATGTGGCTCAAGCAGTAGCGTGCTCACCTGGCATGCGTGCAGCCCGGGTTCGATCCTCAGCACCACATACAAACAAAGATGTTGTGTCCGCCAAAAACTAAAAAATAAATATTAAAAAAAAATAGTTAAAAAAAAAAGAGGGCAAGACCCTGCTCAAAGGGTGGCAAGCACTGGATCCAGGACCAAGGCAGGCTGACCTAGAGCCCACAGCCTGCCCACTGCACTGCTGCCTGAGAGAACGTTGCTGTCCTCATTCCATAGAGGGGAGATTAAGGCTCGAATGGTATATGGGAAGGGAAATGGAGCCAGCAGGGGCCCTGCAGGCACAGCCATGCTAACAGAGGGAAGGACTCAGGAGAAAGGAGGTCTGGCCCAGGCACATGAAGCCCCAAGAGTCCAGGAGCAGAGAGCACAGGAAAAGTAGAAACAGGGACCTGTAACCAGGATGGGGCAGGCTCAGGGGGCAGTCCCCACCCTCAGCATGGTTACCTGAATACCAATTTATCAGAAAATAGAGTGAGTTACTTCCTTCCAACCCCTTTCCCCCTTGGCTGCCTCTGCAGCCTCTGTTAGCCTCTGACATCTGAGATTCCAAACAAGCAGTTTCATTTCCCCAGCCCGACTTCCCAAAGACAGGGAGGGTGGGGCCAGCTAGTTTAAGAAGAGAGAGGGGCAGCAGAGCCAGCTAGTCCTCAGAGAACTGAAGGTAGAGCTACAGAGGCTGGTGTCAGGGTATGGAGAGAGGAGCCTGCAGAGACCTGGACTGAGAGGGAGAGAGGGGAGGACAAAGAGAAACAAGAGACTGTCAGATGAGAAGACAGAGAAGGAGGGCAGAGAGAAGAAACACCTGGGAAAGAGGGGCAGAAACCGGGAGATAAGAGCAGAGGCAGGCAGGCAGGAGAAGGAGGGCCAAGTCAGGGGACACACAAGCCCAGAGAGAAAGACGGCTGCAGGGCAAGGGCTTAGCCAGGCACTCCACAGGGAGACAGTCAGGCTTGGGAGAACACAGGCCCCTGCTTTTCCTCCACCCCAGACAGCATCTCCCACCTGAGAGTCATGGCCCAGTTGGGTAAGTAAGCAGGGGAGGGGCCATGGGACAAGCGGGGCAGAATCCTGCCCCCATATGTGCACTGACCCTTTCCTCCTGTTCTCAGCCCTGCGCCTCCTCACCCTTGTGCCAATCCTCCTCAGTCTGGCAGCCTCCCTGGACTGGAAGGTGGCCTTCAGCCAGGACCCCTTTGAGAAATGCATGCATGATCCTGACTACGAGCAGCTGCTCAAGGTGGTGACCTTGGGCCTCAATCGGACCTTGAAGCCCCAGAAAGTGATTGTAGTTGGTGCTGGCGTGGCTGGGCTGGTGGCTGCCAAGGTGCTCAGCAATGCTGGACACAAGGTGAGAAGTGCTTTTTACAGTCTCCCTGGGAGTCCTGGGTGGAGGACACCATATCCTACCTGTGTAGGCAGAGTGGTGGGGGTAGAAAGAGACCTATCCTTTCTCCTGAAACCCCCGCTCTAACATGTTTGCCCTGAGAGATCTTTGAGGTGCCCAGTCCCACTCCTGTCTTTTTTTTTTTTTCTTCTTCTTCTTTTTTTTTTTTTCGTACTGGTACTTTCCAGTCCAGGGAGGCTGCCAGACTGAACTCAGGGGTACCCAACCACTAAGCCACATTCCCAGCCCTTTTTTGTATATTTTTTAGAGACAGAGTCTCACTGAGTTGCTTAGTGCCTCACCATTGCAGAGGCTGGCTTTGAACTTGCAATTCTATCTCAGCCTCCCGAGCCAGTGGGATTACACGCATGAGCCACTGTACCTTGCTTAAATCACTCTTTTGGTTGTTGGTTTTTTTGTTTTTTGGTACTAGGGATTGAACCCAGGGGCACTTAACCACTAAGCCACATCCCCAGCCCTTTTTAATATTTTATTTAGAGATAGAGTCTCACTGAGTTGCTTAGGGCCTCACTAAATTGCTGAGCCTGGCTTTGAACTTGTGATCCTCTTGCCTCAGCCTCCCAAACCAAAGAGTGCCACCACTCCCAGCTACTTATCTTTTATTTTGAGATAGGGTCTTGCTAAGTTTCTTAGGGCCTTGCTAAATTGCTGAGGCTGGCCTCAAACTTGCAATCTTCCTGCCTCAGCCTCCTGAGTCACTGGGATTACAGGTGTGTACCACTGCACCCAGCTCTAAATCACTCTAAATATCAGGTGGGAGCCAGGATGGGGATTTGTGTTTGATAGAGGTAGAAACTCCAAGTGGAAGTGACACCTGAGGTCTAACCACAGTGTTCCCTGTTGAAAATCCAAGAATGAGAATGGGCCAGCCCAGGGACTTCTATGCATATGGGAAATCACCCTATTCCTTTCCTAAGCTGGGAAGTCCCTCTGCAATCCAGCCAGTGGCCTTCCTGCTGGAAATGCCCATTTTCTGTTCTTCCCAGCTCCTCTCATCACCCATAAAGAAAGGAATCTTTCAACCAGGAGGATTGCAAGTCCGAGAACCTTGTCTCAAAATAGAAAGGGCTGGGGATGTAGCTCAGTAGTAGAGCACTTCTGGGTTCAGTACCCTGTACTGGGGGGTGGGGAAAGAAGAGGGGGAGAGGAAGGAGGAAGAAAGCAATCTTCTGATCTAGATCACACCACTGTAGGATGGAGGAAGGGAGGGTCTGGCAGAGGTGGGAAGCTCAGTAGAAGGAACTGAAGGTCCCCACTTTCCCCTCATCTCTCAGGTCACCATCCTGGAGGCAGATAATAGAATTGGGGGCCGCATCCTTACCTTCCGGGACCGGAAGACAGGCTGGATTGGGGAGCTGGGAGCTATGCGCATGCCCAACTCCCACAGGTGAGGCCTGATCTGGCTGCCCCCAGCCCCACCTCTGTACCCAGACACAACCAGAACCCCAATTTTATCCCAGTTCTAGGCTCCAGTGTCTTCATTTGTTTTCATGGAACCCAGAGCCTCATGCATGCTAGGCAAGTGCTCTAGCAATGAGCACAGCACTCCAGTGTCTCACCCTCAAACCTAGATGTCCCACACAAATTGGATCTAAATCTAATCTGCAACTTGATCTTTCTCCTAACTTCATGGTTCCCTGGCACCAGTCCTGCTGTGGTACCTGCTGCAGGACTTAGGTCATCTTATACAGCCAGAGCCCCTAGCCCAAGCCAGTACCATCCCATCCCCTTCAAGCCTCCCCAGTTCTCCCTCTCCCAACACCTTCAGGATCCCAGGCACAAGCGTGGCCACTGCCTCTGGCCCTTTCCCCATCCCTAACCTCTATCCATCCTGAACTCTGTTCCTGTTCTCAAATCAAATCTGAGCTCCAACTTCATCCCCAGTGAAAACAATCCCTGCTCCTGACCCAGTCCTCATCCTCGTTCCACCCTCAGCCTTCAACATTGTCCATATTTAATTCCCATCCCCAGCACTGATGATCCGAAGTCTACCCCAGCCTCACATCCATACACACTTCCCTCCTCCAAACCCCACTAGGACTGCCAACTCTGGCCCTCACCCAACCTCTCCCACACCCTCAGGATCCTTCAGGAGCTTTGCAAGAGCCTGGGCCTCAATCTGACAAAATTTACCCAATATGATGAGAACACATGGACAGAAGTGAATGACATGAAGCTGCGGAACTACGTGGTAGAGAAGATGCCCGAGAAGCTGGGTTACAACCTGCGCCCCAAGGAGAAGGGTCATTCACCTGAAGAAATCTACCAAATGGCTCTCCACAAAGTAGGTGGCCCCATGTCCTCCTCCACCCTGACCTTCTGTGCCCCACCTTCCCAGTGGTCCCTAATCATCTCCTGCCTCTGGCTCTTGCCTTTAGCTCCCCTGCCACAAGCTTTCCCTTCCCACTGCACTCTGAACTGGACCACCTCACCTTTCTATACCTTTAGCTAAAACTGATCACCCAGGTGATGTTTCCTAAATCTATTTCCTGCAACCCAGACCTGTGCCATGTCCCCTGGCCACCCCTCAGCTGTATTGAGCTTAGTATCTTTCCCTAAACCCATTCGTACTCCCAGGTTCCTTCTTACAATGATTCCACCAGCCCCAAGTCATGGGACAGACCCACAGGTGTCATCATCATCCACACTCCCTTCTTTCCTACCCCCACTGCATGTTCCCACCTCTGTGTCCAGCCCAAGCCCAAGCCCAAGCCCACACCCATCCTCTCCTTGAACCCTCACCCCAGTCTCTTCCATGGCTGCCCAGCCTCCTGCACCAGAAGAGTCTTCCCACTCAGAGCTAACCCTGCTCACAGCCCTCTTTGACTCCTCAGACCTTCCAGGACAAAGTCACAGTCCTTAGACTCAGGTGTCAGCTCTGAATGGCCTTACTTCCCCCAGCTCTCCAGCCTCTGCTTCTTTTCTTTTCTAAGAAATTTATGTTACCCCCAAAGTCCTCCTAGTGGTCCAGATGCACCTGCTCTTTGCTCTTCAAAGTCTTCTATGCTCATCTGTCATCCCATACCTGCACCCCCACCACACCTCCTGCTTGCTCTGCTTTCCTTCCCCACCAAGGAACTCCTGTCTATCCCTTGAGAGCCAGCTCCCCTTCAGGAGGCCTTCCAGATGCCCTTAGGGTGGACTGGCCACAACCAACTCCAGGAGCCCCTTACTTGTCCATTTCTCCCATGGACAAGGGTGAGCACCAAGTCCTGGTCAGCTCTGTGACCTGACACTGATAGTACAGGGAGCCTAGGGAAATGCTAGCTGAGTGAGCGAGTGGAGAGTGAAGGGGCACATCCTTCTGTGGGGAGTTCCTGGTCGGGAGTGAAAAGCAGGTGGACAAATGAGAAGGCTGAAATCTGACCCGAGCGGCAAGGCTTCTGGTAGGAAACTGAAAGACTGAAAAGGGTGATCACTGTGTCAGGAATAGATGAGGCAGGAAGCCACAGTGCAGCGATGAAGGTAGGAGAGCACTAAGGGCAGCCGAGGCACTGGCCATTGTTCTGTAGAACCAGGGCTGCCTTGAGAAAGGTTGACCAAGGAGCTGGTGGGAACCTGGAACACCGGGCTAAGAGGAGGCCAGAGGGTAGTGGTCAAGAGAAAGGCTGGGGAATTACACCTTCTTAGCCATCATGTCTTGTTGGTGCTGACGGCAGAGGGGACTCATCTTCTGTCCATGCCAGCAAGTATCCAGAAGGACACGGCACAACTGGCACAGACACAATCCTAGGCTGGACTGAACAAATGAGGGGTGAGGGGAATGAACACTTCAGAGTACTCCTCCCCATGGTGACAACTGAGTTGCAATGGAGGGCAATGCTGATGGTGGAGGCCTGGGGGCTTGAAGGAGTGGTGGATGTCTGGCCTTGGGCAGAACCAGGGGAACCCAGCCCTTTCTGCTGGCACCATCTGCTTATTCCCGGACAGGCCCTCAAAGAAGTCATGGTGCTGGGCTGCAGAAAGGCAATGAAGAGATTTGACAGGCTCACGCTTCTGGTGAGTGGTGGCTTCGATTTTGCTTCAGAATTGAAGGCAAAGAGGGTGTCCACGGGGCTTTCCCAAAGAAGTAAGGAATCTGAGGCTCCAGTGTGACTGCTCCCTTCCCCTGGGGCTGGACACACCCCTTTTTTGAACCTCTTTTTCCCTCATCCATTACAAGAGGGGACCAAATCTTTAAGGTCCAGGGCATAGAAACAGGAGACCCAGCTAGGGAGAGGTTCTCAGGGAAGCAGGGACAGAGCTGACCGCTGGCAGGTGCAGCCTACCTGGGCCCTGATTTGGGCCTTCATTGGCCCCGCAGGAATACCTCCTTTGGGAAAGCAACCTGAGCCAGTCCGCCGTGCAGCTTCTGGGAGACGTGATGTCCAAGGACGGATTTTTCCACCTCAGCTTCACTGAGGCCTTGCGGGCGCACAGCTGTCTCAGCGACCGGCTCCGGTGAGCGTGGGATGGGTGAGGCCAACCCAACCCGAAGTGGGTTGGTGGAGCTGGCGTGAAGGGCGCGGTCTGCAGGGGTGAAGGAATGGGCTAAAGGATTGGAGAGGCCAGTCCCTCTGGTCTGGTCCCGCTTACCTGGGCAACAGAGGTCCTCCAGAGGACCTGGTAAGAAAGGTTCCTGCAGAAGGGTGTAACCCAGAGAAGAGGTGTGGTTTCGGGTCATATATCCTCTACTCTGCAGGCCTCCTGCCCTTGAGGTCCAGAGAGGGGTGGGGAGGATGAGGGGGATGACGGGGGTGCCAATAGGAGCAAGTAACGCGCGGGGGGGCCTGCGCTGAGGAATCCCGCTGTAAATATCCACTCACGCTTATGCCTGACCACAGGTACAGCCGCATCGTGGGCGGCTGGGACCTGCTGCCGCGTGCGCTATTGAGCTCGCTGTCTGGGCCAGTGCTGCTGAACGCTCCGGTCATAGCGATAACTCAGGGCATGCAAGAAGTGCGCGTGCACATTGCGACCTCGCACACGTCGCGGAATCCGAAGGCACTGACGGCAGATGTAGTGCTACTGACCGCAAGCGGGCCCGCGCTGCAGCGTATCGCCTTCTCACCGCCGCTGTCGCACAAGCAACAGGAGGCGCTGCGCCAACTACACTATGTGCCCGCCACCAAAGTGTTCCTAAACTTCCGTCGGGCCTTCTGGCGTGACGAGAGTATTGAAGGCGGCCATTCGAACACCGATCGCCCATCGCGTCAGATATTCTACCCGGCACCAGATGAGGGCGCGCTGCTGCTGGCCTCCTACACGTGGGCAGACTCCGCAGCTGTGTTCTCTGGCCTTAGCCCGAATGATGCGATGCGCTTGGCACTCAACGATTTGGCGAGGCTGCACGGGCCGCTTGTGTACCGGCTCTGGGACGGCAGCGGTGTCGTTAAGCGCTGGGAGGATGACCCACATAGCCAGGGTGGCTTCGTGGTGCAGCCGCCGTTTCTCTGGCAAACTGACCAGGACGATGGGCAGGACTTCGACTGGGTGGTCCCCTACGGCCGCATCTACTTCGCCGGGGAGCACACTGCCCACCCACATGGCTGGGTGGAGACGGCTGTCAAGTCGGCTCTGCGGGTCGCCATAAAAATCAACACCCGGGAATGGCCTGGGAGTGTGGATAAGGGCAAAGAAGGGCGTGTGGAGATGCATGTAGTAAGGGTCCACGAGGGGCACGTGGAGGGGCACGTAGAAAGGGTCCACGAGGGGCACGTGGACCACGAAGGGCACGTGGACCATGAGCACCACGTGGACGAGGACCACGTGGACCACGAGCACCACGTGGACCAGCAGGAGCAGCAGCCGCAGCAGCAGCAGCAGCCGCAGCGCGTGGACCAGCAGGAGCCTCGCGAGCAGCACGTGGTCCACGAGACACACGTGGATGTGGTCCACGAGAGGCCGGGAGATGTCCAGGAGGAAGCCAGCTATCCCCCGTGCAGAGAGGGAAAAGGAGAACCCACCCATGGTGCAACCCATCAGCTCCCATCTGTCCAGCACACCAACCACCTTAGCAGGTTGAATTAAAGTATTTTCAGAAAAAGTCATGTGATTCAGCCCCCTCCCTGCTCAGTTGCTTCCCCAGTTTGCCTGGACAAGAGCTACTAGCCCTGCAGTTCAAAGGGAAGGGGCCTATCCTGGAGCCCCAGAAGCTGTCCCTAGCTTTTTCCTTGACAGGGGGTTCTATGGAGGAAGGGGACAGGACAGACAATGCACTACTAGTGTTATAGTGCTCCCCACCCAACCAGGTCTGTGACAACAGAAAATCTGACTTCCAGTGGGCTAAACAAGTTTATTTTATTTTTTTTCACATGAGCAGCAGCTGATGGGCAGGGTACCAGTGTGCAGCTCTGCAGGCCCCTCACTGCCATTACATCCAGGAGGTGCCTGCTGCTGTGGCCCTGAAACACCTCATCTTCCACTTTTCCAGAAGCCCCAAAGGCTTCTGGAAAAAAAAAAAAAAAAAAAAAAAGCCCTGCCTCCACACGCCCTACGGGGACCACCTCTTATGTCTCATTGGCCGAGTCCCAGGTCAGGTGGTCAGGCTTGGGCTCTGCACAGGGGCCACATGCCACCACCTCCCCATCCTGGCCATAATGCCAAGTGAAGTGAGAAATGTCAGTTTAATGAAACCAGTTTATCAGGAGTGCAGTGGGCAGCAGCCCTCCTCACAGGTCCCTCCCTTAGCCCCCAGAGGCAGATAAAGCGCCTGTGCAGGCCACTGGTCAATATAGGTTAGGAGTCTGGGCCGTCTTCCTCCTCTGGCAGGATCTCTAGGCTGCTGTCAGGTTGTGGGGCTGTGTCCCCTGGAGGCGGCGGGGCAGGCGGGGCCCGTGTAGGTGATAGTGGCAGTGGGGACACCAGGGGCGAGGGGCTGCGGGGCTCTGAGAGTGGCACCAGACCCAAAACCTCCTGAACGTTGTGGGGCAGTTCCTAGGGGCGTGGAGGCAAAAAGTCAGTGGTGAGCCAGCAGAAGAGCTGGGAGACCACTGTGGGGAGAGCCAGGACTCACCTGGCAGGCAGTCAGTTGCCGGTAGAGGGCCTCGGCACGTGTCAGCACGTCTTCCACGCTCAGCTTCATGGTCAGCTCGTTAATGTGCTGTGGAGAGGGAGTGGGTCAAGCTTACAGCCCTCCCTCACCATCACCACCCAATGCCTACTCTACACACCTGCCTGCTGGGGAATGGAGGGAAGACAGGGATGACCCTGTAGGGGCTCAGAGCAGGGCTGTGGGGTCAGGGAGTCAGGCTTCTCAGTCCTACAGTAATCATTCCCATTGCTCACTGCTGGCAGATATATTGTAAAATGAAGGGGAGGGGCATGTCCCCATTCACCTGTTCCGTGGGTACAATGCTAGGAGGCAGGCATAGGAGAAAGGAGAGAACAGCAGATCCACCCTGACAGTGTTCACAGCCAACCATCCATTCAACAGTCCAACTGTTGCACAGGCAAGGCATTGCCAGGGACGACAGGGGGAGCCCTCACCTTAAGGATCTCATTGGAGCCAAAGCCAGACAGCATGAGGGTGTCCCGCTCCATGTCCAGGATGGCGCAGGCTACTAGCAGGTGCAGATTGGGACCAGGAAGCCCTGTCCACAGCACCTGGGGGTGCCAGAAGGAACCTATGCCTGAAGTCCTACCCAAGTCTGCTCCATTCAGGTCTGCCCATCTCCCTCCAACCTTCCAGCCCCTCCCACTTCTCCTTCCTCTTCAGTCCTCCCACCAGAACTGGCTGGCCCACCTCCCACAGCCGAAGGATATCCGGGAAAGGGAATTCTCTCTTGAACCAGATGAGTAGCCACCGGAAGCAGAAGCAGAGAGAACCAGAGTCCTGGGAGTCTGGGGGAGGACAATGCGTGACTCAGCTTCACCCAGAGCAGGTGCCCTATAATAAGCAAATTCAAAACCCAATTCCCCCCAAACTCAAAACCAATTCCCAAAAAAAAAAAAAAAAATTCACAACATGCCCAACAGCTGGACAAAGCCTCTGAGTAGTCCTGGTTGTCAGGCCCTCCCTGGGTGCAGGCAGGTCATATGTGCAGGCTTGGGGGCTTCAGAAGCCCACTCCAGCTTTCCAACCATGCCTGCCACTCTCCAGAGGAAGTGCACTACCTCCACATCTTTCACTCTGACAAGATAAACACTCCCAAGGATAACAAAATCTTAGCCACCAGTGCTGGTGAGGGTTGTAGACACTGGCCCCTAGAAACACTGTTGGCCAAAATGTCAGCTGGGGTGATAACTTTGCAGGCAAGTGGCGATGAGGATATCAGTTCAAAAGATGGCACATAACTCTAACAACTGAGGAGGCTGAGATGGGAGGACCACAAGTCCTAGGCCAACCTAAGCAACTCATCAAGACCCCTATATCAAAATAAAAACTAAAAAGAACTGGAGATGTAACTCCGAGGTAAAGCACCCCTGGGTTAAATTCCCAGTGTGGAGGCGGGGGGGGGGGGTTATAAAAGTTTTGGCAGTGCTGGGGATGGAACCCAGGACCTCACACATGCTAGGCAAGTGCTCCACTACTAAGCCACACCCCAGCCCAAAAGCCCTGGACATGGTCAGTTCCCTTTTTGAATTTTGACCTTAACATATCTTCCAGACTATTTATCCTGATAAGAAACTGCAGATGTCCATCAGGATAAATCAGTTCCGTGTGTCTTTCAGGGAAGAGAATTCCATGCATTTAGAGGATCTCAGACGCATTCAGGCATAGACAATTCCGCGCATTCAGCTGCCAAGAGGCAGCTCAGGTCCTCATGCCCCAGAAGGTGAGGTGAGGCGTTTATCTCCCTCCCCCAAGAGTCTTAGAGCTTCCTCAAGGAAATATCATAAATAAATTACTTTATCATCATCTTTTACTTTTTTCTTCATCTGAATTTTCAGCATTTTTTATATTGAACAAATAGCTTATAGATAGCATGCAGCAGCCCCACCCAGGAGTCACAAAACCAGTTTCTGATCCTGGCCTAAGTTGAGCGGGAGCAGGATGGACAGAGATGATACATGATTCCCTGTTTCTGAAACACCCTGGGCAGACCACGCTGTAGCTGAAGCCCCTCAGGTGGAGGGAAGCATGGGGGTGGCTAGAGGATCATGGGCAATGCCAAAGCTCAGTTCCAAACTGCCATTCAGCCCTTACACTTAAGTTTCAGGATCTCTTGTTCAGATCAGCACCAAGCATCCCAGACACTTTCTGTGGCTACTAACAGAGAATCTCTGGCAAGGTCTGTGAATCCCTTGCCTACTCACCCACCAGCCCTAAGGACATACCCAGGAAGTCGCACAGTGGCTGGTCCAGCACCCTCAGGAGCAACAGGAGTTGCCCGAGCTGCCGCTTCATGGTCTCCTGACTCTCCTCAAAGTTTCCATGCTGCAGGGAGAGGAAGGCAGCGGGTATCAAGAGCCCCCAGCCCTGACTCTCAGAGGTCTGTTTCCCACTCCTGTAGTGGGCCTTACCACAAGCTCCATGAAGCCACAGAAACACCAGAAAGCATCTACTTCACTCTGAATGACGTAGAGGATCGGGGAGAGAAGGTCACTCATGCCCTGGACGTAGCCTGGGGGGAGGGGGGCAAGGTCAGGATCTAGGGCAGAGCTCCTTCACCCCACCCCCACCCGGGGCCAGTTCCGCACCAAGATCAAAGTGGTACATGCAGTACGTGAGGAGGATGTCATGCAGGAGGCCCAGCCCTGGGTTCTCGGGGCCCTCGTAGAATTTGTTGGTCCTGTCAGTGCGGCTCACATCTCTCTCTGCAGGAACCCAGCGCAGAGTGCAAACGTAAAAAAGGTGAGGCCCCCGTTCCTCCTGGCCACCAGCACCAGCCCTGCCTCCTCTGCTCCCTGGCAGCCCCCAGCTTCAGCGCTCGCTCTGGGGCAGGAGTGGGACTGGTTCCAAAATCATCACTAACACTCCTGCTGTGAGGCACTGGGCTTCAACTCACCAGCTTACCCCATCCTGCCAGCGAAGAAACCGAGACTAGACCTCCCAGTGACAACTGACATTTAATCCTAAAGGCTCCCCTGCCCCCGTCCCTGGCCTGTCACCCCAGGCCATTTCTACCATGCTTCACCCCCATTTCCCTCCCCAGATGACCTCATCCCTGCCCCAGCCCTCCTCGCTACTTCCTCTCTCTCCCACCCTTTCATCTCTGTACCACCCCAAAACCCAGCACACCCACCAATGAGGCTGCGGTATCCATGCAGGAGTGAGTTCCTCCGCTCCTGCTCGGGACTCACAGACTTCCACTGCAGCTTCATGCGGAAATACTCATCCCTAAGGAGTAGGGAGGGCAGAGGTAGACCACAAAACTATTATGACTAGTGACACAGCATGGTCCAGGAATGAAGCAGCAATTCAGACTGGAGACAGACCACATGGGGATGGCAGGTCTGACTTGTTCACCACCATATCCTCTGGCACAGCACAGTGCCCAGTGTATGGCAGGCTCAAAACCAGTGTTCATGGAACAAGCCTATTGTCTACAGCATCCCTGTGAAGAGCCAGGTGCCGTGCTGGCTCATGGGACATGCTGTTGATCGAGAAGCTCTAATCCACCTGGGAGACTTAGGGAGGTGGAAGCCAAAGCTTTGAAGGGCAAAACTGCTCCAAGAACACAGGGGCCATGTTTTCTCACTCACGTCTTCTTGCGCACATGGGCCTTGTGCTCCTCAGCTGAGCCTTCCCAGCTGAGGTATCCCAGGAGGAACTTCCAGGCTTCTCGTCGCAGGCTGGGGCTCAGACCCTGGGGGTAGAGTGGCAGAGGTAGTTCAGTGGATCTCCTGATGCCACCAGCCCTGCCCATCCCCCCATCCTCTGGTGCTCACCCCTGAGAAGATCCGGTTCTTCAATTCAGGGACCTGTTGTAGGCGGCCCTCAGGGCCCACGTGGAGGGCCCATTCCCCTTCTGTGACTGGGGAAGCCCGTTCCACAGGTAGTCGTGGCCCCAGTTTTACCTGCAGTACACAAGGAGGTAAGCCTGGGGCTTGCCAGATCTGGCCCTTAGCAGCATCTCAGTCCACCTCCAAGGGAGCTCAGAGCCCTTCTTA